ATCAAAGACATCAATACATTAACAAAGTATAACTTAACTAACAAAAAGAAAACACTCATCACATAATAATATGAATTGTTCAAGTTGTATTAAGAAAATCATTCATCTTTTTTTCATTCGATGTGAGACTCTGTAAAGTACTTAAAGTCAAATTAACAAATAAATCAGCCAAACTAATCTTTTAATAATGACTTATTTGTATTTGGAGTTCATAATATACCCATTTTTAGTAAAAGATTTTTGATTTTGTGGGTTAAAAATAAAATCATCTATAGTAGAATATTCTTAGTCGATCTTTTCATAAGTGAATTTATATTATTAATTAAATTTTAATATAAATATTCGAAATTAAATGTTCGATTCCTAATAGGAAAGTTGACCATGGTCCACAGAATTGGTTCTGAAAACCGGAGTGCACCTACCCGGAAGGGCAGCGCCAGCGCCGTGCTTTGACAGTGGTGCTTGCTCAGTCAAAACGCGTGGGAAATTTAACCAATCTCTGCTGGCTTACAGCCCAAACTATTCCACCTTTCCCAAATTGACTATTCTTATTCTTTTTCTCTCTCCACTTACCACTGGTATTCTATGAAAAGTAAAATTTCAACTCAATACGGAAAATTAGATGAAGAGAGACCACAATAATAGGCTCAACAAATGATCTAATTTCGTCTTTTTCACAGGCACACTTACTGGATCGAATAATTTTTCATTAAATATAAATATAAATTATGAGAGATATCTTTAATTTCTCTGAAATTTAATTTGATATGTGAAGTCTCTTTTTCATTTTCTTTCCACCTACCCCTGTTTTTTAAATAGAAAATTCACATTGTGTTATTCTAAATTTTCACCCCAATTGCATCATTAAAATTTGAAAAGAAGAAGAAACTAAATAAGCATGCCATCTTTTACGCAATAAGTGTGCCCTCAATTTCATTTTATAGGAAGTATTTACTTATTAGTTCGTTTAGAAAAAAAGAGAGTATATTTTCTATTTGAATTTTTTTTATTAAAATTAGCTTTCTTTTACATTATAAAAAAAACATAAGTTCACACTCTTTATTATAGTCACTATAACTTCATTATATTTTCAAAATCACCAACTTTAATTTAATATCTCTTTCTTAAACTTGTTGACTTGTCACATAATCTTATATAAATTGACAACCATTAATAAAGTAAAAACTTATGTCACCCAGTAATTAACTAATTATACCATAGTTCTATACATCATAACGCGTAGCATCACTTTGACACTTTATTTGGATGGTTGTTACCCGTTGTATTCTATTGTTAGTTTAAATATAATTTTTGTTTTAAATGTTATTTAAATTTTATTGTTCGTATCGTATCATTTAAATCAATCGTTACCTCATTTTATGTAATGACCAATTTGATGTGATCGCGTCGTTATCTTAATATTTTCTTCTCATTTTATCTTTATTTATTGTTAGTTATATTTCATCTTTCACCATACATTTTTGTGGTAGGTAGCTCTACCCTCATTTAGATCATAGATCTGTAATATTATGTAACGACATATAACGATATAATTTATTCCAACACTATATTCATTAAAATAATACCAATCCATACAATACAATATATTATAAAACATTACGTAACAACCATCCAAACAAAGTGTAACTTTACAAAGGTGCAAATTAATAATTACTGTAAAACGTTTCTACCATTCAAGTTACAAGGCTATTTTGGAGAATTGATCAAACCCGCAACTGACGAATACATTGTTCGCTTTACGTGTGGAGGGCTGGAGGCTTGTCGTTAATCTCTCCACATCAGTGCTGAAAACGTGAAAAAATACTATTTATTTATTTACGAATTTTTAATTTATTTTCCTCTAAAAAGTTTCCTTATTAAAGACTCCTCACTCCCTTCTCACATATTTGTAGATCTTAGATCTGCTACTACTATATAAAGGACCTCCCCGCCCTCTTCTCCTTCATTACACATACACTTACAGATCCATCTTTTCCTCTTTCATTTTCTCGTCAAATTCATCTCTAAGGTATGAATTTTCGAATTGCTTATTCTTATTCTGTTCTTAATTTCAGCTGCACTCTATGCATTTACATGATTATGTGTATTACATCGCATATCATTTTTTTAAAAAATTATTATCAGCTTGTTATATTTGTTCCATTTTATAGATCAGAAGTTGTGAATTTTGTAGTATTTTTAACGTTAACTTGAGGGAAAATGATGAATTACACGATTCAGTGTGTTGTATCTCAAGCATTTATGATTCAGCTTGCTATATTTGTCGATTTCGTTGATCAGAAGGTGTGAATTTGGTGTAATTTTTTAAGGTTAATATGAGGAGGAAAAGCTTGATTTACACAACTTGGTGTATAACCACGCAATCATTTTTGATTTTATAGATTCAAAAGTGTTAATTTTGTGGAAACAAACTGTCTTTTTTCATGATTTTGATTAATTATGGGAGTGCTCAATTATACATAAATGAATTGTTAGATTTTGATTAGATCTAGTGTTTGTTCATATCATTCAGAAATGGATCTGAAATATGATTTTCAGTGGATGATCTGGATGTTTTTGACTCTTTGTATTAGATCTGGTCAAGATCATGGTTACTGAATATCATTTCCACTTGCATTTGTTAGTTTCTGTGTTGAATTAGTGACGTTGGCCTTATTTTCAGTTGTTTGAGAATTACATATCAGGTTGAGTTTTAAAATTGCATGTTAATGTCATCCTCTGAATGTAAAATTTCCTCTTCCGTTTTACTGTAAGCGTTGGACATGGCATGTTTTGAGTGTATCCTTGTTCAGGAAGTCTTATCTTTTGTACGTATTTTCTTCTTGTTTCCTCTGCAATGAGAAGTGCATGAAACAGTAAGTTTTTATGGTTATGTGTTACATTTTATAGTTTAGAATGTAGATCTTGTGGTAAGTATTGGGCAGATAGTGTGACCGTGGTGTATACTCCAATCATTATTTTCATTTTGGATGTCATGATCGGACCTAAGCATTTGCTTAAGGCGTTAACTGTTATACACACGTTAAAGCTTGTAGTTTCAGTTAATGCATATTCTCTGATATGTTGTTTGTTGGATATGATGGGTTTTTCCGCGACCATGAGAAGTTTAGCCTCAGAAATATGTGAACTTTTGTCTGTTACAGAGTTGAAAAAGAAGAAAGAAAAATGGTGAAGATTTGCTGCATAGGAGCTGGATATGTTGGTGGCCCTACCATGGCTGTCATTGCACTCAAATGCCCCACGATTGAAGTGGTCGTTGTTGATATCTCTGTACCTCGCATCACTGCCTGGAACAGTGACACGCTTCCCATCTATGAGCCAGGCCTTGACGATGTGGTCAAGCAATGCCGAGGCAAGAATCTCTTCTTCAGCACAGATGTGGAGAAACATGTACATGAGGCTGATATAGTTTTTGTTTCTGTCAACACTCCTACCAAGACTAGGGGTCTTGGAGCAGGCAAGGCTGCAGATCTTACCTACTGGGAGAGTGCAGCCCGTATGATTGCCGATGTCTCGAAATCTGACAAAATAGTTGTTGAGAAATCAACTGTTCCAGTAAAAACTGCTGAGGCAATTGAAAAGATTTTGACCCACAACAGCAAGGGAATCAACTTCCAGATCCTCTCAAACCCTGAATTTCTTGCAGAGGGTACTGCAATCGAAGACCTCTTTAAACCTGACAGGGTTCTAATTGGAGGCCGGGAAACTCCAGGAGGCCAGAAGGCTATCCAAGCATTGAAGGATGTTTATGCTCATTGGGTTCCTGAAGGCAATATCATTACCACCAACTTGTGGTCCGCTGAGCTCTCAAAGTTGGCTGCCAATGCATTCTTGGCACAAAGAATCTCTTCTGTGAATGCCATGTCAGCTCTCTGTGAGGCTACCGGAGCAAATGTTACACAGGTGGCCTATGCTGTTGGTAAGGACTCGAGGATTGGTCCCAAGTTCCTCAACGCTAGTGTTGGTTTTGGTGGATCTTGCTTCCAGAAGGATATTCTGAACCTGGTTTACATTTGCGAGTGCAATGGTCTGCCTGAGGTTGCTGAATACTGGAAACAAGTTATCAAGATTAATGACTATCAGAAGAGTCGTTTTGTCAATCGCGTTGTTGCCTCTATGTTCAACACAGTCTCAAACAAGAAAGTTGCAATTCTAGGTTTTGCTTTCAAGAAGGACACTGGCGATACTCGAGAGACCCCTGCTATTGATGTATGCAAGGGACTAATGGGGGATAATGCTAAATTGAGCATATACGATCCTCAGGTGCAAGAGGACCAAATCCAGAGGGACCTCTCGATGAAGAAGTTTGACTGGGATCATCCCCTTCACCTCCAGCCAATGAGTCCCACATCCGTGAAACAACAAGTCAGTGTTTCTATGGATGCCTACGGTGCAACAAAGGATGCCCATGCTGTTTGTATTCTCACAGAGTGGGATGAGTTCAAGACCCTTGATTTCCAGAAGATATATGATAACATGCAAAAACCCGCTTTCGTTTTTGATGGCAGGAATGTTGTGAACGCTGACAAGCTAAGAGAGATTGGCTTTATCGTCTACTCAATTGGTAAGCCTCTCGATGCCTGGCTTAAGGACATGCCTGCTGTCGCTTAAGAGCCTTACTTTGCTCGAGTGGCTTGTTTTGGTCTTAAAGATATTAGTTATCAGGCAATCATCAGCTGGGATTCTTTACTATTTTTTTACCACTTCAATTTCTGTTTCCATTTTATCCATTGTAGTCATAAGACCACCATCGTCACTATCTGAGTCGCATGTAAGATGTTTTCTGTTTCTTTTGTATTGATGATACTTGTTTTATCATTTACTTGTCATATCGGAGGATTTATTTGTTCGATTATGAAGGGCATTTGAGTTTTGAACCAGATACTGTTTTCCTTCCGAGTTTTGGTATGAATTTGGTGTGCCTTTCAACTGACAATTTTCATGTCGGCAGTCTTTTAAGTTAGATGCTTTCGGAATCTTTAACTGGTTGGTACAAAGATTCTTGAATAATTAATTAATCTTCCAAGTTGAAAGGGCATATTAGTCTTGTAATCATTTATTTCCATGTGTCAGTGAGTAGTTGTCTTGATCTTGTGTCTGCTTCAAACAAAAGGTTGGTTGTTGGGCTGGATTTTTCTTATACCTTTATGACAAAATCCAAAAATGGTCTTTACATCACTGATCACACGATTGTCAGTTGGCTGATTTTGGTGCTCTAAGCTAAGATCCAACGACTCATTTGTTCTCAAATGGGCCTAAATCAGAGTTTGGTGATCCTAGTAATCTGCGGGGCCAAAGTAATGCGTTTGATTTCTGAAGAATATGCCAAGGCGGAGAAAGCAGTCATTAAACCAACCTTTTTGAACCTTAGTATGAATCCTGAAGTTTGTTCCAGAACATATATCAAACTGATATTCCCGAGCGGATCATGAACATAGGCGGATCCTGAATTTAAACTAAATGAGTTCAATCTTTTACTTCTTTAGCTACTAATTCTTGCAAATTTAGTGATACATCAGTTCTAACAGTCCACCTCGAAAGTACTGATTTCAGCTGAACTAGATGATATAAGGTAGCATGCGCCTCAGATTGCTATTTACATTACAACTATGTTTCATCTGCTATCACAAACAGTAGGAGATGCACAAATAGTCTGCCTTCACTACCTTAAAATATTGGATTTGTTTCTCGTGGGAACATGTAAGTATTCTTTCTTAAAAATCCTGAATACGCCTATGGAAAATTAGTCAGAATCCTTGTTAAACTTCTTTAGAAGCTAAAGCTCTCGTCTCGTTTGGTTGTCAAGTTGACTTGTGTAATTTCTCTATTTCTCGACTCTTTTTCATCAATCGGTTATAAATTAGAGTTGACTCTTTCGATGTGAGTTTTGCAAAGTTTAACCGGTTTCAAGTCCAATTAAAAGAAAGAAGTTACATAAGTACGATCACTTGAAATGTAACAGTGGGAGTATGATAAGTAAGACTAATTTGCAATTGCAATACACAACACTATTACCATTAATTCTAACTAATTTAATTGATAGATCGTTAATCGAACTTAATTTATAAACGTGTAAGTAGCCAACCAACTGAACTAATTATCAGAGTTACGATCTCATTTGTTACTTTATTAATGAGCCAATTCAAGTAAAAAAGGCACTCTAGCTTCTCAGACTTCATAATTTTCTTATTCTTTTTGCCCTTTATTTGTTTGATTTTACACAAATGATTCACGTGACAAATCTTTAATTGCATATAAGGCTTTCTCCTCAAGAATTCAAGATTTTCAAGAACTCTGTTTCTGCACACTCTCCAATTGGTTAGTTTCTGAGTATATATAAACCCAAAAAACGAACTCCTAACAAACCCATCTTCTCCATTTAGTTAGAGTTTGACTCAGTTTCATGCTTTGAAGGGAAAATGGAGAGTCAGACTCAAAAAGGGTTTTCTTTTAGTCCCATATATAGTGAGTATCTGAATACACAATTCCCATTACCGATTTCTTGATTTTGCAAAACTTTTGAGCTTTCGTTTTCGTGCGCTATTATTCTTTCAGCATTTCCTATTGATTTTCCTCTTCAAGTAAGATTCTTTTTGCGAACCCCAAATGGAAGAAACACAAGGACACAGGTTTATATGCAAGTTTTGTGACAAGAGTTGTGATAGTGGAAAGTCATTGGGAGGTCACATGAGGGGTCATTCAGCATTGATTTCAGCTGCAAAGAATCAGAAAGAAGAAGCTGATAGCAAAATGGGTTCTCAAGAAGAAGAAGAAGAAGCTGCAAATACCCATGAAGATTTGAGCATTTCAGAGCAATCTGATGGAAGCATGAATCAAGAAAAGGACAGTAATATCAGCATTGGTGATGATGGTAACTCAGCTGGTTACGGTTTAAGAGAGAATCCAAGAAAATCTTGGAGGGTTTCTGATTTAAAGATTTGTTCTTTGGAAACGACAAATATCTGTAAAGAATGTGGTAAAGAATTCCCCTCCATGAAAGCTCTGGCAGGTCATTTGCGGACTCATTCGAAGAAAGGGATGGAAAAAGGTCATATTTGCGAGAAATGTGGAAAAGGGTTTGCTTCAATGAGGGCCCTTTTTGGTCACATGAAGGTTCACTCGAAAAGATTAAGGGTTGATAATCAAGATTCTGAATCAAAACAGAGTTTGTCTGATTTCGATACTGTTTACCCTATTCGGAAGAAGAGATCAAAGATAAAATATAAGATGGATGCAAGTTCTTCTTTTTCCGGTTTGAATGAATCCTCTTCTGCAATTAGTGAAGTTGATGAAATGGAAGAAGCTGCTAGGTGTTTGATGATGCTGTCATCGGGTGTTACGGACTGGGATGAATACATTTCGATTTCAGAGAATTCTAAAAATGAAAATGTCATTCTTGAAAGTGAATCATTTCACTGTGCTAAGGAGATTTCTGCTGATGCTTTTACTGTAAAACATTTGTCTCATACTGTCTTTTCTGATTCTGGTTGTGTTGATGGTTACGAAAAGAACTACGAAATCGCTGAGTTTTCAGACAGGTTGATGTTGATCAACACTGAGATCACAAAGGTGTGCTACTCTACTGAAATGCAATTTGAGAATGATCCAAGCTCATCGGTTGTAATGCAGGATCTTGCTTTTCTGAATTCTTGTTCAGTCAAGAATGCAGGGCTGAATATGGTCAATTCTCAAATTGGAGTAATCAGGACAAGTCCTGATCCTATCAAAAGCAAGGTTCACAAGTGCCCAATTTGCTCCAAAGTTTTCCCATCAGGCCAATCTTTGGGAGGCCACAAGAGGGCTCATTACACTGGATTCACTGAAAGCAAAACTAAAGAGACTATGGTGAAAAATTTGGATGATGTTGCTGATAATCATAAATCTTTTGATCTGAATAATCCTGTTATTGCTATGGATGGAGGGGAAAAAGATGTTGAGCTCAAGCTTTGGTGGGTTGGAAGTGGTGACGCGTTGATGATGTCGAGCTGAGATAATTCATTCTCAGTTTCTGCTCTAGAGGTTTAAGAAACAGATAATTCATGATTCTTTTTCATGCTTGAGTTTCATCATTGTAAAGATAATTTTCAGTCTTGGAATAGTTAAACAGTTTGCTGCCTAAACCATAATGAGAATGAGGCATACAAATTACAACATTACTGGTTACTTTTTGTTCATTGTATTCTTGCATTGGTAGTACATATTTTCCCAGCCCACAATACACCTATGCATGTCTTAATCCCAAGAGTTGGATTTAATCTGTTGAGTTGGTAAGAAACATGTTGAGATGATATGTTCCTGGATTATATAACATGATTAATGAAAAAGTAGCATCTGGCCTTTGGTGATTGTTTAATGACATAAGGTATCAACAAGTTACAACAATTAGTCAATTGATGGTCTCTAGTGTCTTTCTCCTTATGGTTGTATGGCTATAAAATTAATCTCTCACTTTGCAAAAAGAGTTTAACTTTGACTTTTGCCAAATATGAATTTGTGTTCCCATAATTCTCCATTGTTTGAGTTCATCAATTGTTGTAAGATATTTAGTACAAAGATACTTATATGGATGAGGTATATAAGAAATGACTCCTATTTTCTTGCTGTTGTTTCTACTTAGTTATTATTGCTGCTACTTTTTCATCGTTGGTATCAGTCGAGCTTTTATCCAAAAAAAACCTCTCGGTCCGTGTACACTTTATCCTAACACTAAACCCCATTCGTGGAAATTACACTGGATTTATTGTTATATATAGTTGTTGTAATGGGTTTTGAAGCTTATATTGAAATATACATGCATTTTATTTCCCATAGATAACAACTCTACAAATCAAAACGATTTAAATATTCAATTTTCAGTTAACAGCAGACTAGAGATAAGAGCTGCAGTTCTGGGCCAACTTGGTGCGCTCACTGTCGCTTCGCACGTGCTTGAGAAAAGAATATTTCATTTCTACTTTCACTTTTAATCCATTTGAGAAAGACTAACATGTTTCTTTTTTTGTCAAATCTTTAATTTCAACTTTGCAAATAAAAATATGACATGATTTCACGTTTAATACGATAAGATTAAATAATATTTAGGTACATCGTACATTATGTATCTTTAGTTGAAACTTATAATTTTTAAAAAAAATATCATGTCAAATCAAAATCAGAAAAAATAAATGGAGAATGTGCGTTAAAAGTAGATTCAAGTTAGAAGAGTATGGTAAAATAGATTGGATGAAGTTGTCAACAACGTCTCTCTAACATAATCAAAAAGTTGAGCCAAACAGGTCTTGAACTTTTCCCCCAAAAGATACCACCTTTCGGAAAATGGCATCTCACCATCACTACCACCCCTACCCTACGGCGGCCG